GGGTGCAGGGCTTAGGGTGCAGGGTTTAGGGTTTAGGGTTTAGGGTTTAGGGTTTAGGGTTTAGGGTTTAGGGTTTAGGGTTTCGGGCTCAGGGTTTACTTGATTCCTTTACTTAAGGCTTAGGGCCTTAGGGCTTCAGGGCTTGAGGTGTTGGGGAATGTACGGTTGTAGGGTTTAGGGCTTCGGTTTACCGAAAAATCTTAAAGACTTGCAAGATGGGGGTTTCCGAAAATAGGGGAGCCTAATTTTGTACCTTAAATAATAGGATCCTTGTTATAACCCCAAAAGAAGGTACCCCTAATTTTCGGAAACTCCCAGATGCATCCAAGGCGCAGGGTGACGACCAAAGGCATGCAAAGCGCAGACAGCATCAGGAACCATATCCTCAGCTCGTCACGAACAAGTACGCCGAAGAGGTAGCAGTCCCAGCCCAAAAGTGCCTGTTAGGGTTTAGGGTTTAGGGTTTAGGGTTTAGGGTTTAGGGTTTAGGGTGTAGGGACAGGCTTCAAGGAGCTTGGATCCCTTATTCAGGGCTCCTTTAATGTATGGAGCTACTGCTACTACCGCTTCTTCTGATACTGCCACTGCTAGAGTGCTGGCTGGCTGTTACGTGTTGCTACTCGTTGTGGTTGATTGTTATGGGTTCTAGACTGTTCTTGCTCCCTGTTCTTTTCAAATAAGTTACAACACTGAGGACGCATTGTGTACCATATATTCCAGGCATAGTTGCATATTATATATATATATATTCTAATCTGATTTCAAGCTCTTTCATAGACGCCCGGAGCCAAACTTGGTAGATAAACATAAAAGAGAGTCCATAAACACACAACCAAAAGAAGTAAAGACCTTACTCCAAACTGCTTGACCTGAGTTGAAATCAATCACCCTTGAGTCCCTACCCCCTTTAAATCTATAAACCTTAACCCGAAACCCAAACCCTATACCCTAAACCCCAAACCCAAGCCCAAACCCAAACCCTAAACCCCCCAAAGCCCTAAGCAGGATCCACTAAACCCTAAACCCTAAATCCTAAACTCCCAAAGCCCTAAGCAGGATCCCTGCATTCTGATCGCCACGAGCGTCAGATTGGAGAGTCGCTCCAAAATCCAGTTTCGAAGCACGGTCCGACGTCTGGCGTGAGTTTAGGGGTTGGGGTTTAGGGTTTAGGGTTTAGGGTTCAGGGCTTCAGGGCTTCAGGGCTTCAGGGCTTCAGGGGTTCAGGGGTTCAGGGGTTCAGGGGTTCAGGGGCTAGGGGTTCGGGTTGGGGTTTAAGGGCTTAGCGTTTGGTTTGGCTGAGGGCCAGGGGTTCTTAGGCCTTTAACCCCTGAGCCCTAATCCATGGGCCATGTATAGGTGAAGTACAATCCTAAACCCCCCTAAACCCCTAAACCCTCAACTCTGAAAACCACAAACTCTGAGGTAGAACCCCAAAATTGGAGCCTAAACCAGTGGAACCCTAATACATGGGCCATATTTAGGTGAAGTACAATCCTAAACCCCCTGAGGTAAAACCCCATTAGGCAGTGGAGGCTACTCGAGACCCGCCTCGCTTCGCGATTTGCCACGCCCCGCGCCACGAGGTCCTGCTGGGGTTTCAGGTTAAATTTATGTATATAGATAGTTCATGTGTGTACTTATGGCACATATACGTATAATTATCAGATATCCTCAACCCCAAACCCTAAACCCTAAACAACAAACCGCATACCCCTAATCCCTAAACCCTAAACCCCTAAACCCTAAACCCTAAAGCCCTAGAACCCTAGACCCTAAACCCTAAACCCTAAACCCCTAAACTCCTAAACCCCTAAACCCCCAAACCCCTAAACCCTAACCCTAGACCCTAAACCCTAAACCCTAAACCCCTAAACCCCTAAACCCCGAAACCCCTAAACCCTAACCCTAAACCCCTAACCCTAAACCCTAAACCCCTAGAGCCCCAAACCCTAAACCACAAACCCTAAACGGCACACCTCCGAGCTCTGCTGGCCGACCAGCAGCGATGAGACATCCCGTGCAGCTTGGAAGGACATGGCTTTCGAGCTCGGGGCTTCCAGGGTTTAGGGGTTTAGGGCCTAGAGGGGTTTGGGTTTAGGGTTTAGGGTTTACAGGGTTTAGGCTTTAGGGCTGGGTTCCTTTAAACGGAGAATAGGGTTTAGGGTTTAGGGGTTAGGGTTTAGGGCTTAAAGGGTTTAGGGCTTAGGGCTTAGGGCTTAGGGCTTGAAGGGTTTAGGGTTTAGGGCTCAAGGGTTCAGGGCTTGAGGGTTCTAGGGTTTGGGCTTCAATGCGTTCAGGATTGAGGGTTAGTGGTGTTTTTTCGGATGTAAGGGATGTTCGGGCTGTTAAGATCGCTGAGATGGCAGTTCGTTGCTGTCACGAGTCTTGTGAGTAGTGGTTACCGTACTTGGTACTCGTGGCCATGCTTTGAAGACGCCCTATAGCCATGACAACAACAGCTACTACTACTACTACTACTACTACTACTACTACTACGACTACCACTATGATGACTACTACAACTATTACTCTTGCTACTATGACTCCATTCTGAAGCCACTATCGCCTGCAGCTTCAGGACGCGGAAGGTTACTTTCACAGCTGGCGCCTCACGTGCCTTGGTTAGGGTTTAGGGTTTAGGGTTTAGGGTTTAGGGTTTGGGGTTTGGGGTTTGGGGTTTAGGGTTGATGGTCATGGGCTCCATTGTAGTTCCATCTTTTGGGGATTACCTTGTAGGATCCTGAATTTAAACCGCAACAAGGAACTACAATGGAGCCTAATGGAGGGGGTTTTGAGGGTCTTGCGGTTCAGAACCATCCGGGAAGCTTTCAGTGCAAGGCACACCCCCCACGCCCCTGCCCGAAAGCCTAGAACCTTCAACCCTAAACCCCAAACTGGGTTTAGGGTTTAGGGTTTAGGGTTTAGGGTTTAGGGTTTAGGGTTTAGGGTTTAGGGTTGAAGGTATCAACTTATGTCATGCTTGAATCCTTCTGGAACCCCTCTAGACTACCTAAACACCTAAACCCTATATAAACCCTGAAACCCTAAAACCCTAAAGACTACTTCACACCACAGCCTCAACCACAGACTCCTATCTTCTTTTCTCGCAATCGAAAGAGCAAGAACTGGCTCTGGTGAATGCTCAAGGGGCACGAGTCACGAGTGTATAAGGAACTGTCTATGAGGCTTGCGGTTTCTAAGGCCTCAGGCTTGTAGGATCCGGTCTTTCGTGGCTATCCTATGTGAAACAAGGCTTTGAGAAAGGTATACTAGTTGCAAATGAACTGTGCAGATGACTTATGGCAACTTAGGGGTTTCGTATTTAAGAAACATCAGGAGACCTCCGTCATCTTCCGTCACTCGGAGCCCCTGAGAATGCGTGCACTGCAGACCTTTGCGGGAGGGCCGCGACCTGGCCGGCGGCGTGGGTTTAGGGTTCAAGGTTTAGGGCTTAGGGTTTAGGGCATGCCGTGGCAAGCATAGCAGAGTGCAGTGGCCGAAGAAGTAGCAGCAGGACTAGTAGTAGTAGTAGTAGTAGTAGTAGTAGTAGTAGTAGTAGCAGTAGGACCAGTAGGAGGAGGAGCAACAGCAGCAACAACAACAATCGAATCATCGGGCCCGGTAGCATTGGCATTGTCGACGTTTTTGGGCGAGGCGCTACAGCGGCTCTAGGAATCTCCGATCCACCCAGCTATCTTGCGCGCCTGGCGCGCACCCCTCAAACCCCGTTCCCAAAGGCCCAAACACAACCCTAAACTTTAAACTCTAAACCCCTAAACCCTAAAACCCTAAAACCCTAAACCTAAAACCCTAAACCCTAGAATCCTAAACTCTAAACCCCAAACACATGAAGGCCTGAAAACCTGAAGGGCTGGCTGGGGCCTGCGCTGCGATCGCAGCGCCCGACACGCATCACTGGAAACCGTCGCTGTAACGACCCGGACCTTGGTAGTCTTGAGTTGGGGAATTAAGGTGGGTTTAGGGTTTAGGGTTTAGGGTTTATAGGGTTTAGGGTTTAGAAGGAAATTAAGGTGTCTGGTAGGGTTGGGCTAGGGCCCAGGGCTATTTCGGGTTGACGATGAAGATTATGATGTTCATGATGCTGATGGTGATGGTGATGATGACGATGGTGATGATGATGATGGTGATGATGATGATGATGGTGATGCTGATGATGATGATGATGATGATGATGATGATGACGATAGCAATGTTGCTGATGTTCATACTGATGTCACCGTTTACACGAGTTGTTCTTGCTACTATGCACAATGCAGCTGTTGCTCGTCCTCCTCCTCCTACTACTACTACTACTACTACTACTACCACTACTACTACTACTACTACTACTACTACTACTACTACTACTACTACTACTTCTGCTTCTTCTGCTTCTTCTGCGATGACATGTGCTACCTGTCAGCATTCCCGTGGTTCGGGAGTTCGGGTTTCGCGAGCCCCTGGCTTAGAAAGGGATGCTGCAGCGCTTCTGTCGCACTTGGCCGCAGCGCTGGGTCCACCTGCAGAGGCCGGGCATGACGGTACCTTCTCTGGATGGAATGACTCCCTCCAGCATGATCCAACTAGCAAGTCCCAAAACATTCCAAGACTTCATGCGTTCTTGGTTCTTGGACTGTCTGGCTGCAACATTGACAAAATGGACATGCTGTGAATGGTACTGTATGGATCTGCTGCATAGATTTTAGCGTCTTTGCCCGTGGAAACCCGCATGCGCCTGGAGCAGAGAGCTCAGGAAATCCAAGAAGACCTGCGGCAATCGAAAGAAGCAGCTGTATCTTGCACGCAGGGTTGCCTGTGGAAGAGAACCGGAGAAAGTGCCCACTTGCGTCGCTTTGCCTCGTCGTTCGTTCGCATGCGCTGCTTCAGTGATGTCCTGCAGCGATTCCACTGCACATTCCCCTTCTCAAAACCGATGTCAAAACTATACATCTGTTTGAGGTCTGCACTGTTGGGAATAGCTGGCCCCTAAACCCTAAACGCCCCAAAACCCTAAACCCCAAACCTGCAGAAAGCCCAAAACTCCGGAATCGACTCCGGGGGGCTCTGGGATGCAGTCTGAAACTCCTCTTTGGCACCAAGAGGTGCAATGACCGATGCGGATCCACCGGCCTCGTGATGCACAGCTCAGGCGACTAAGGGCTTTGAGGGTTTAGGGTTTG